TGTGTGTGTGTGTTTATGTGTGTGTGAACATGTGTGTGTACTTGTGAGTGTGCATGTATGTGTGGGGGGGCGTGCACATGTGTGTGTACTTATGAGTGTGCATGTATGTGTGTGTACATGTGTGTGTATTTGTGAGTGCACGAGTGTGTACTTCTTTGTGTGCATGTATGTGTGTGTGAGTATGTGTGTTTATGTGTGTGTGAACATGTGTGTGTACTTGTGAGTGTGCATGTATGTGTGTGAGTGTGTGGGCGCGCACATGTGTGTGTACTTGTGAGTGTGCATGTATGTGTGTGTGTTTTTGTGTGTGTGTACTTGTGAGTGTGCATGTATGTGTGTGTACATGTGTGTGTACTTGTGAGTGCATGAGTGTGTACTTCTTTGTGTGCATGTATGTGTGTGAGTATGTGTGTCTGTGTGTGTGTGAACGTGTGTGTACTTGTGAGTGTGCATGTATGTGTGTGAGTGTGTGGGTGTGTGTACTTTTGAGTGCACGAGTGTGTACTTCTTTGTGTGCATGTATGTGTGTGAGTGTGTGTGTTTATGTGTGTGTGAACATGTGTGTGTACTTGTGAGTGTGCATGTATGTGTGTGTGTGTGTGTGTGTGTCCTCCATCCTCTAGGGGGATGGGATGGGCAGAGGGTAGGTAGGTGGCAGGAATCCTGGACTCTAGCTTGGTTTCAGTCCTGTGGCTTTGGGGACATTGTGGGGGGATGGCAGACAGAGGGAGGTGACCCCGGGCCCTGGGCTGGGAAGGAGCCCAGGGACTCGAGAAGCCCTTCTAGACTGTCCCTCTGTCTTGCAGATTGTGGACAAGAACAGCCGCTACAAGTCCATAGATGGGTCGGACGAGACCAAGGCCAACTGGATGAGGTGAGTCCTCTCGCTGTGTTCGGGAGGCCGGCTGGCCTCCGGAGAGGAAGTGGGGGTGGCGTGTTGGGACCAGGGGGTCTCTAGAGGCCAAGGCCTCCAGGACTGTGTGTGCAGAGCATGGGAGACGTCCAGCCTCCGTGACCTTCCTGGTCCCCGGCTTCCATGAGGGGGCCCCGAGGTGGACTGTGGCCAGGCCAGCAGGCTGCAGGGACTCCCAGGGCCCCAGGTTCCTGGGAGCATTCCTGGGGAGGGGGCGAGAATGTCCCCCTTGGGACTGTGACGCTGTCTCYCAGGGCAGGCTGCTGCTGCAGGGGTGCCCAGTGGTTGTTCCCATGGTGTTCCTGGCCGAGGAGGGCCCTGGCAGGGGCTGGGCCTGATGTCCACCATGCTTGCTGCTGGGCTTGAGTGCTTTCACCCTGTGCCAGTGTGTGACTCAGAAAGGTCCTAAGGGCTGGCCAGGGAGAGCAGGAGACTGCCCAGGCCATCCCAGCCAAGTGTGGGACCTGGGCTCATTGCTGGCCTTGGTGGCCTTGCTGTGGTGGTGGGCAGGGGAGCAGGCTGGCCTCTCGCTTCCGTGGGGGCTTCTCTCTGGGATCCCAGGACAGTGAACAGGAATGTGGGTCTGGGTAGGGCGAACCAGGGGCCCTCTGTGGCTGGGCCCCGGGACCCACTACACCTGGATGTGACGCCCTCTTGTGTCTGTGTGGCCTGGTGACCCAGGGGTGCTGGAGGCTGGTGGGTGGGTGGAGGAGGACGGTGCATTAGGGACCAACATGGGGGGTGCTGTATTTAAACTGAGGCAGTCAACAAGCAGGTGACTGCTGGGGCTGGGGAGTCACGCTGGGGCCTGGTGTCCTCCAGACGGCCTGACTGACCCTGTCCTCCCGTCAGAGACTCCCAGGCAGCAGAGCCACTGTCCTCCCCCCGAGCACCCAGGGCTCACCCTCTCCTGGGGGAAGCTGCTCCTACTGCCATCACCAGGTGCAGAAGCAGGGTCGCTGTAGACAAGCAGCCCTGGAGGGCTGTGTGTGGGGACAAGCTCTCTCCTCCCCCTCCTCCCCAGACCTGGTCAGCCAATGCCCCGAAATGGCCCGAGAAGGAGGTCTGCAGCCCTAACTGCCGCCTTCCCCCACCCTGGGTCCAGGTCAGGACACCCACGGGCTTCACCCGCCGCGTGCGGAACACCCGCTTCCCCTCGGTCCCTGCGCTGGGCACCTGGGGTGGCCCAGCCTGGCCTGTCCCATGGCCCTCCCAGGGCCCACACCTGGTGCCACGCCTGGTCATCGCATGGACTCTCACCGTGCTGCTAGGGCCCAGGTGGGAGAAGGGGGCCTCTGACAGGGGCCTCCAAAGTGGCCAGGACTTTGGGGACTCTGTGAGCAAGTGGCATGAGCCATTCTAACAGGCTGTCCATGGACARCAGGGCCTGCCTCCAAGGGCTCTTTGCCCGGTCACTGGAGTGACCCCAGGCAATAGGGAAGCGAGGGCGTGGCTCGGCCCAGGTGTCCCAGGCAGGAGGCTGCCTCCGCTGTCTGGGTTCCAGGAGCTCCGGCCTCCGGAGCCGAGCCCTGCTGCCTCCCCTGCACCCCCAGCTGGGCCTGGGGATTCCTGGCGCTCGGAGCTTGTCGGCCACGCTGGCCGGGCCTCGGTGAGGCTCTCCACAGTGACTCTGAGGGCGCGGGTGGGCAGCACGGCTCTGCATCGGTCTTCACGCCACAATGGCCAAACCGGGGCCCAGAACTGGTCACTAGCAGAGGGACTGGAGCTCTGGCTCTGGACACAAGGAGCCAGGCTGAGCCAGTTCGCTGGGCCGTGTGGGCCCTGGCCGGGTGGGCTCTGCATGGGTTGTGCCCTGTGCTGACCAAGACGGTGCCTGGCGGTCCCCCTGGAGGGCCCTCAGCTCAAGGGCAAGTTGGGGTTGGTTGTGCGTCAGCCTCGTTGGGCAGCTCCTCCGTCGGCGGGTGCTCTGGACTGCTCTCTCGTGGCCTGGGGCATGGGACTGAGGGAACGCAGGGCGTCTACGAAGTGAGTGGTGGGACAGGAAGGGAACCGGTGTCCAGGTTGGGAGCACTGACCCCATGGCCCCGTGCCAGGGGCTGTGTGCAGAGTCCTCAGCAAGGGCTGCGTGCCCCTCTGGGAGCGCTGGGCAGTGCCTGAGTCATTCTGGCAGGCGCAGCGTCCTGGGTGGGTGCCACTGGTTGCATCTGGTAGAAGCCGAAGGTGGCAAAGGTGGCGGTAACACTCTACGTTTGCAGCCCCTCCCCCAACAAAGAATATCCGGAGCCCCAGAGGCCTGTAGTGGTGTGACCAAGAAGCCACGTCACAGCTTCCCGCCAGCCCTGGGAAGTGGCCTGGGATGGTCCTCCTAGTTGTACAGAGGCCTGTGGCCACAAGGAGACTCCGCCTCTCGTCTCAGGTCTGCGCAGTGCGAGCCTGTGCCCTGCCATTGTCCTGACCTGGGGACCACAGCCTGCCCCTCCGCAGCTTGCAGGCCCTGGTGTGCTGCAGGGTGGGGGTGAGGCTGCTGCCCTCGGCCTCAGCTGATGCTGCAGGCGGAGGAGTGACTCGGGCCCCAGGTTTCCCTCTGTGCCCTGGGTCCTCTCGGGTGGACCTTTCCAACCTTGTAGCAGCAGGTAAAGCGGGGGGCAGAGCCACATGGAGAAGCTGCGTTTCAAGAGCAGAGCAGGTGCTAGGCCAACGGCAGAGCACCGCGGAGCCCCTCCTGGTGCCCCTGGCTGCCCTGTGCAGACGGAGGCTGAGGTCACCCCTGGTGTCCATCAGAGTGCAGTTCTTCTCCCAGTGGATGCTCATGAGCTCCTCAAATCCAACCAGAAAGCCACAGCAGCCACCCAGGAGACACAGCTGGCGGTGCAGCTGTGGGAGGTGGCTCTGTCCCTGCACACACAGAAGTGGGGACGGGAGGGGGCAGATGGCGGAGGGGTGGTGAGCCACACGGGATGGAATCAGCTTTCTGTGATGACTCCCTTTGATGGGCAGCACCAGCTGAGGCCCGGCCACGGCAGCCCATGTGGACAGTGGCCTCCAAGCCACTCACGCCCCTGCAGGGCCCCGTTTAAACTTGACTTTGCAGGGTCAGTGGTGCAGCCCCGACCCCACTGAGGACTCTTTATTCCTTTTATAGGATTTTATGCGTTTATATCACTATACCCTCCCCCCTTAGAGCCAGCCTGAGGAGTTGGTGTGTTGGTACTGCCCTTCTGGATGGGGACAGGGAGGCGGGAAAGGGTACATGAACTTGCACCGCCCGGCACTCGCTGCTAGCCAAAGGCAAGGTCGGGCCTGCTCCGCGGACCTGCCCAGGGCTCCCACCGCCTGACCTGCGCCTTTGCCTCCTACCGCCCCCTCCGAGGAGGAGTAGAAGGGACTTCTCAGTAGGAGGAGGGCGTGGGGCCGGGTGGTCCCAGGTCCTCCTGGCTCCCCAGCTGGGGCCGGCATTAGGAAGGAGGAGGCCCACCTGCCTTGACGGTCATTTACCCTATTGTGCTTTGTGGGATATTCAACCCAAGGACCGTGGCGCCCCTGGCCGAGCGTAAGAGGAAACCCAAGTTCTCCAAGGAGGAGCTGGACATTCTGGTCACGGAGGTGACCCACCACGAAGCAGTTCTCTTTGGGAGGGAGACCATGCGGCTGTCCCATGCCGACAGGGACAAGATTTGGGAAGGCATAGCTCGGAAAATCACCTCCGTCAGCCAGGTCCCCCGCTCCGTCAAGGACCTTAAGCACAGATGGGATGACATGAAACGGAGGACCAAGGACAAGCTGGCCTTCATGCAGCAGTCCCTGTCGGGCCCTGGGGCTGGGGGCCGGGCCCCTGCCTTCATGCTCACTGCCCACGAGAGGGCCATCGAGTCGGCGCTGCGCACCGCCCGCTCCGGGCACGGCTTCCCCAGGGCGGAACTGGACGGCACCGACAGCCCCTCGACCAGCTGTGAGTATCTGTCCCCTCTGCCCACTCTTCCCATGTCCACTTCCGCCCGCCTCCTCTCCCTCTGGGCATCCGCCTCTGTGCCTGGACGGTGCTGGCAGCCGGGAGGACGAGCCCTGCCCCCGGGCAGCTCCTGGACATGGGGGACTCAGCAGCTTGAGTTAAACCAGTGCAGGAGTGACTGGAAGGAAGGGACGAAGGCTGTCGTGTCCAGTAGACCCTGAGCACAGGGGGACCTCAAGGCCTGCAGGCACAGGGGCTGCCCGGCTCCAGGTCCCTGAGGTTGGGCTCTTACCCCTCCCCCCAGCCCTGCCTTGGATTGTGTGTCTGTCCCTGAAATGATGAATGGGCCCTTCTGGGGGTGAGGAGCGGTGGCACTTGGCTCCATAGGGCTGGAAGGCCCCCTAAGGAAGTGAAGTGGGACTGAGCAGCGAGGGGCACGTAAGAGTTAAGAAGCCCCGGCTGGGTGAGGGCGGGGGCGGAGAGCCGGGCGGGAACAGCATGTACGAGGCCACATCAGGAAGGCTCCTGGCACGTCCGTCCCGGACACGGAGGAGCCAGGGGGGCCCCAGCGTCGCAGGCGAGGGGCGGGGTGGGGGCTTGGGCGGCCGCAGGCAGGCCCAGGCCTGGAGGGGCAGCTCCTGTCGCCTGGGCCAGCTGCACTGTTTCTGTCCCCTCCTGTCTCCTGTGCCCAGCGGCCTTCGTCCACTTCTCTCTGGCTCTGTGTCCTGCTGCCCAGGGTCCCCTCCCGCCCTCGCTCCTGCACCCACCCCAGGCACAGTCCTCTGCGCCCACCCCGCCCCCTTCTCCCTCTGCCCCCTGCCTTTCCCCTCTGCTTCCTGCGTCTGGTGGACCCCAAGGCCAGGACCCTGGGGCTCTTTCTAGTTGGGGCCCCTCCGTGCACACCCGTCCCCCTGCCTCTGCACCGTCCGCCCTGCCCCCACTCAGTCCCTCGGAGGCCGGGAACAGGCGGCCCCAGAGGCCAGTGGGAAGGTGGGTCCCCAAGAGTCCCGCCTCCCTCCCCAGGCCCCTGGTCACGGGGATCTGCTCATTT